TTTTCTTTTTTGCTTATGTGGTGCTGAGGAATCGAACCCAGGGCCTCATGCATGCAAGGCAAGTGCTCTACCACTGAGCCACCTTCCCAGCCCCATGTCTTCATTTTTCTGAGTCTTCCTGTAATTAGTTCCCTCTCCCTAGAAAGCTCCCTACTCTTAATACACTTCCACTTCTGTTTGTTTTTGCTTTGCTTTGTTTTGATGCCAGTCCTAGGGCTTGAAATCAGGGCACAATTCCTGAGCTTTTGTGGTCAAAGCTAGTGCTCTATCACTTGAGCCATATCTCCACATCCAGCTTTTTGGTAGTTAAGATGAGATAAAAGTTTCATGGACTTTCCTGCCCCAGCTGGCTTCAAACTGCAATCCTCAGATCTCAGCATCCTGAGTAGGACTGCAGGCGAGAGCCAAGAGTGCTTGGCAACCACTTCCACTTCTTTACTTGGCTCGCTCTTAGTCATCTTTCAGATTAGAACTTCCTTGTCATTTTCTGAGAAAACTGCCTCCTGCATATTTGTCCTTTTCTTTCCTATTCAGAATGTACTTCCTTTTTTTTAAAAGACACTTTCAATATAATTTACAATTATATGATACTTATAATTTTCTAATGTCTGCTTCTTGCACTAGGGCGAGAATTCTAAAGTTTGTAGCTTCATTCAGTGCTGGACCCCAGGTGCCTAAGATATAGTAAATACTCAGTAAAGGTTATTGAATGAATGAATGAATGAATAACTGTTCACCTCCAAAGCTCTGAACAAGAAAATTTCTGGAACAACCAGGTTTTTCTGGGTTATAGGAACTTCTCATCATAAAGGTTTAGTGTTTTATGGGACTTGAGTCCGTGGACTCCTTAGCCCAAGGGGGACTGATGAATGTTGAAGGATGAATTGGTACCACAGGTTTGTCACTCCAGCCATCAAGCCACTATCCTTGTGTGCCAAGGCTGGGGCTGTTATGTCTTTAGTTGTCCATGTATACTGCCCAAATCACAACTACCACATAGAGCCCCACAGAGGTGGCACAGAGCCTTTTGTACTGAGTGTGGGGACCGTCCATCAAATACAGCTACATCTCCACCAAGTCTTGCTAAATGCACTTAAAAAAAAAACTTCATACACACACCCTTGCTTGGCCTTTGCATGAGCTAGCTATATAAATTGGGAGTATGTGTATATTCACATAGGCTTCTAGATGTATACATTTATGTGCTTGTGTAGGTACAAGCAGGTTGTATAATGAGTGCTTGTGCATGAGTCCGCTGTAAGAATGTGTGTTCCTGAATATGTATGTGAATGCTCATAGTTCTCAAGTGTGTACCTCCATCTATCCCTTGTGCCTCCTGTGTGCACCTCAAGTCACCCGTGTCGTCCTTAAAGGAAAGAAGGGGGTTGGGGGGAAGCTGCTCCGACATGGGGAGCTGAGGGCTCAGAACCCAGCCGCAGACTGCGCCCAGCTCATGGACCTGGGAGTCATCATCCACTCTCTCCAGTTGCTCGTCCCGACCTCTGCCTCACTCCGAACTCGCGGGGTCCCCAAGGTGACCTGTGGACCCCTGGCCCGAGACACTCACAAGCTGGACCGCCAACCCCGCCCCGAAGCCCCGCCCGTTGCCGCTCACCGTGGACTGCGACGCACGCGGGGAGCCAGAGCACGAGACACCACCAGCCCGCGGCGCCGGGGACCATCTCCAGGGCCCGGCCGGGCGCCGCGTCTCCTCCGCCGTCCCGCCGCGCTTAGCTCGCCGGACTTTAGCCTGACAGCTGCTCCGGCCTCCCGCCCACAGACCCGCTCTCCCTGCTGGTTGGCAGACAGGAACCACATCCACAGCTGATTGGCTTTGACGCCTGCTCATGTAGCCGCACCTTCCGCCTCTGCGCCCTAACCCACTTCCTACTGGCCAAGAGAAGTGGAATCGAAGGCTGATTGGTCCAAACTCTAACAGTAACTGCTGGCCCCCATTGCAGCCCCGCCCCCGAGTTTCCCAGTACAGATTTATCTCCCCGGGACCTCACTGGTAGGGGGCGGGTCCGAGAGGCTAGGGCGCCGGTGGGCGGCTAGGTGGGGTCTCTTCAGCTGCCAAAAGGTCTGGCCGTTGGCTCTTGCAATGGCTAGACCAGCCATGGCTTCTCCTGGTGATGCTTCCCACCTCTCCAAATCGTCTTAAGGAAAGGCATTTGTCAAGCGCCCAGGTGGTTCCCGGCTCCGTTCCACCACCGCCGGCGCGCTCACAGTCGGCGGGGGCGGGGGCCGTGGCTCGGTGCACCACGCCGCCAGGGGGCGCTGGCCGGTGCGATTTGCCACGCCCGCTTCCCTCCCACTAGCTGTGTCCATTTGTCACCGTGGACATCTTTCTTAACCGGTCTAACATCGTTATCTGTAAAACAATAGCCTTCCGGTGATCACATTTGTAAGGTGCTTACTTAGCACAAGGCCGTTCCAGTCGGCGTTCAATGAAAGCATTTACTGCATCCCTTAATCTAGCCTTCGGGGACACAGGGACAGATAGGATCGAGGTTAGTAGGTGACGCGGATCGAATAAAGACCTTACTTGCTTCAAGAACAAGAAGCACAGGCAGAACCCGGGGCCCTCTGCATAACCAACGACTTTGAGAGCGCCCTGGCCCACAGCCCAGATTCTAGCCCTTCTAGCCGCGCCGATTCGGTGGCAGCTAACCATAGAGTTGCGGAAGTGGTCCGTTCCCTTCCTAGAGCAGCCCGAAGACGCTTCCGGGGAGCTCTTTGGCGAGGGGCATTGTGGGTTTACTGGGCGGCCCGGACACCGACAGCGGAGGAGTGGCGGGCCACTGAATAAGCTTCCAAAATGATGGTGAGTGGAGTCTCTCGCATCCGTCGCCATCCGCTGCCATCTGGAGGGCGGCTGGCGCCGCTCGGCCGGGAGCCGCGCTAAAGACCTCCCTCCGGCCTCCCGTGTCCGCACTCGTCGCCACCCGCCGCCTCGGGGCAGCCCAGCCGGCCTCGGCCTGCCTCGGCCGGGGCGTGGACCTCTGGAGCACCCGGAGGAAGGTCGATCCTCAGACTATAGGTCCCACCCAGGGTGCTTCGGACCGAGAACCTACATCGGGGACCCCTTTTCTCGCGTCCCCACTGCCACGGCACTGTGGAGATTTGTCTGAAACCGTGGGCTGGCGCGTGTACTCTCTAGGCAGCTGAACACTGGGTGCTCCGGGAAGTGCGGATGTAAAGGCGTGAGCTTCTAGAACGCGCAGAGAGGCAGCGTGGGGACTTTATTTTAGAGCCAAGCGGAGCCCAAGGTTTTCCAATATGGTCACTTGTCTCCCCCTGCCCCGTCGCTGCTGCGTGCATGCAAAGAGGCTCTTTTAATTATATCTGAATGCCATCATCCGCTTTTAGGATCTCCTGAATGTACCATGCCCAGCTTCGTGCTGGGAGAATGGGTCAGGCTGATGGGGACACAGTTTCAGACATGGGTTCAGATTGCGGTGACATGAATGTATATACGTGCGCGCCGATGGTCCCGAGAAGGGTTCTCTAGTCGACTACTTTCCCTCCCCTCACTTACGTGCTCCCTCTCCGTAGCCGTAGCACTGCCCTTTTTCAGTTCTTCAACGTTGTCTGTACCTAGCTGGGCATGGTAATGAGTGCCTGTAATCCCAGCACTCGGGAAGTTGAGGCAGGTGGATCATGAGTTCCTGGGCTACGTAGTAAGACCTTATCTCAGAACAAAACTTCCCTCCTTTCTTCTTCCCAAAGGTACCTATTTTTCTCTCCTTCCTTTTTTTTTCTTTGATAGTTTATTTTAACAAAGAGTAATTCATGAATGAAGCATTTGCATATAACAATGTTACTGGAAAGTCAATCCAGCTAATTGGCCTTGATCCTGATGTCCAGCAGGAGAATTTAGGCAAGAAGCAAAAGTAGTGATAGTAAATTTTATAGGAAAGAAATACACTAAATAAACTAAAAGTGGGTCATCTCTAGGGTAAGAATGACAAATTATTCTCGAATTCACCACTGTCTTTGTGCATAGGCAGCAGAATAATGTAACAGTTGAGGTTTAGGGCTGTGGAGCCAAATATTACTTTAGTGTTATTTAATTTTGATCCTTAAGTGTTTTAGAGGGAAAAGCAATAAACAAAGGGTTTTGGTACTGGGGCTTGACCTGGGGCCTCGTGCTATTTCCTGGATCACTCAGGACCTAGGTAGCTGTCCCTTAGCTTTTGCTGCCCAAAGCTAGTGATAGCACTTGAGCCACACCTCCATTTCTGGCTTGTCAGTAGTTAATTGGGGATAAGAGTCTCACGGATTTTCATGTCTAGGCTGGCTTCAATCCTCAGATCTCATTCTCCAGAATAGCTAGGATTACAGTCTTGAGCCACCAGCACCTATCTGCATTATGGTCTTGATCAGCTTTTTCCCCCTTCTGCTCATGGCTGATCACTGGAGCCATACTTCTGCTGGTTAATCTCCAATTAAGCTTTTTGTGATTTCCTTAGCAGATAAAGAAGAAAAAAAAGTGAGATTGAAAGTCACTTAGGGACAGACACTGAGCTTTCTCTTACAGTACCTGTTCCCTGGGAATCTGGGAGGAGACAGTCACCCTGCTTGATCTGGTATAGGTAATTCCAGTGCTGGCACTCTGCACACCACATAGGATCTCCTGTCCTGCCTGCCATTTCATGTTCTCCCTCTCCCTCTCTCTCCTCCTCCCCCCTCCCCCCCTTCCTTTATCCTAGTCTCTCCCTTTCTCCTTTTTTTCCTCTTCCCCCTCTCCCCTCTCTCCTTTTTCCAGTACTGGGGCTTGAACTCTGGGCCTGAGTTTTGTCTCTTGCCTTTTCAATCAAGGCTAGCATTCTTCCACACCTCCATTTCCAGCTTTTTGGTGGTTAATTGGAGATAAGAGTTTCACAGACTTTTCTACTGGGCTGGGCTTTGAATGGCACCCAGCCTGCCATTTTAGAGCCTGCAAAACACAGGTCTTGGGGAATGTATCCTCAGTTGCTTCCAAATACTTTGCATTGTACTTAATTTTCAGTAACCTGGGCACCAGTGTCTCACACCTGTAATCCTTGCTATTCAGAAGGCTGATCCCAATTCACAGTCAGCCTGGGGAAGAAAAGTCTTCAAGATTCCAAGAAAGCTGAGTGAAAGGGCACAAGGTCCTGAGTTCAATCTCCAGTACCAGCATGTACACACACACAAATAATTCTCAGCAAAACCATTGTTACTTGATTACCAGTGGGTTTTTTTGTTTTGTCGGTTGTGGGGCTTGAACTCTGGGTCTGAGTGCTATCCCTCAGCTCTTCAGCTCAAGGCCAGCGCTCTGCCACTTGAGCTATGGTGCCACTTCCGGTTTTCTGGTGGTTTATTGGAGATAAGTTTCATGGACTTTCCTGCCTGGGCTGGCTTGAACTGCGATCCTCAGATCTCAGCCTCCTGAGTAGCTAGGATTATAGGCATGAGCCACCAGCACCAGGCTTTTTTTTTTTTCAAGGTCAAGAAGCCAGTGCTGCATCATTATTTCATGATTTATGTCAGCACTTTTAAGTAACAATTATAGCACGAAAAGCTGCAGAATAGTCTTTGTGTGTAGCTTTGGTACTTGATACACAAGGTTACTGTTGTCTTTACCTTTGACAAGTTCATACTTTTAAAGTAGTGTGTTAAAGTTTTGAACGGGAAGTAGAACAGAGTTATTCAGAAGAATTTGGGCTTGAGGGAATGCCCATCTGGTGGTAAGAAAGTGGTTTTGGTAAAAAATGAAAAGGTGGCTTTTTTTCTTTTAAAATTTGACTTTATGCTTTTATTATCTCATAGCAAAACAAAAGATGCCTTATTTTGTAGTCTAGAACTGATTCACTTGACACATTCTTGCTCTTAGGTGCTCGCTTGCTTGCTCATTTGCTCTTTGCTTTGTTACTCAAGACTGGTGGTCTGACTTGAGCCACACCTCCAGTCTGCCACTTTGCTGCTTAGCTAGACTAGTTCGTTAGACTTTTCTGCCTAGGCTGGCTTTGAACTGCCATCCTTCGGATTTCAGCCTCCTGAATTATAGGTATGAGCCACCAGCACCTGGCTAACCTTTTCTCTTAAAAAAATTTTTTTTAAAATAATTATCTTTAAGTAGTTGTAGAAAGAAGATCCCATTCTACAAACAGTATATGAATACAAGGTGTCTGACAACCTTGTCACCCATCGCTCCTAACCCATCCCTTCTCTCACTTTTTTTAAAAAAATTGAGATTAGATGATTACATAAATTTCACATATTTCACAGTATTGTAGAATAGTGATACTTAGTTGAAGTCACAAACACATTTTAACCTTCACAAGGCAATGTCACTATCATGGTCTATATAGTTTGTGAATTATATGATCTTTGACAATACAAATTTTTTTTTTCCACATCAGGTGATATTTATATTTCCTTTTGCTTAGTGTAGGCTGTTCCCTCTTTCCCTCTCATTCCTCCCTTCCCATCGCTGTCTTTAGGTTGCTTAGTTCTTTTTCTTCTATGTCCAATGCAGCTGATAGGTCCCATTTTCCACTCATTCTGTGTCCTCTTCCTGTCTTCCCTCCATTGCGTGCATATATCTACCATATATGTGGTCAAGAACATGAAGTCATTTAGTAGTGATATGACAAAATGAGTGGTTGTCCTTTGTTTCTTGAGTCCTGTTTACTTTGTCATATCTTGCATTTTGGCTTTAGCATCCACATATCAGGGAGACCATGTGCTGTTTGTCTCCTTGTTCTTGGCTTACCTCGCTCAAAATGATTTGCTCTAGTTCCATCCATTTCCCTGCAAATACCATTATTTTGTCCTTTCTAATGGCTGCATAATATTCCATTGTAAATAGGTACCACAATTTTTGTATCCACTCATCAGTAGTGGGGCATCTGGGTTGTTTCCAAATCTTGGCTATTGTGAACAGTGCTGCAATATGGAGGTGCAAGTGTCTTTTTGTATACTGGTTCCTGTGCCTAGCCACTTGTACCTCTTAATAGCCAGCATCTCTTAAAGCTGAGTTATGCTATACACACCCAAATCTCATCAGGTATATACCTACATGTATGTGTATGAATTAGACAGGGTCTCACCATGCAGCCTGTGCTATCCTTAAACTTACCTTCCTCTGGTCTAGAATTTGTGGTCCTTCCACCTGAGACCCTCTGAAATAAGCTACATCCCTGTCTTCCCAGAGTTTCCAAAGCAAGTCTACAAGAAAGCCATTGCTTTGGATAGTGACCCCTCTGGTGGTAGAGAAAGAGAATCTCCACTGAGGTGTCACAGGGAAGCTTTATGGAACTAGTATGACAGAAGGAAAAGTTACTGTATGAAGTAGGCATGTCACTTTGAGAGGCAGGACCAAGATGCTTTTTTGTATTCTTATTTTCCAACACTCCAGCTGGAGGTAGCTGGTAAAGCTGCCTGCTTGGATATCTTCAAGATAGCATCTCAAGCTGTTAGTCACATCTGCTGCTCTAAGATTAAGTTGCAACACAGGCAAGTGGGAGTGTTTGCTGAGGATTGAGTCCTGAACAGGACCTGCTCTACCTTCTATGCTATGACTTGATTCTTCAGCATAGGGAATAAAGTCAAAAGTTGAAAAAGCCATGGTCATTAAGTAGGGATGACATGTGATTTGTTTTCTTAAACTGGATCAGGACTTCTCAACTCATTGCCCTATCTGATATACCTTCACCTTCAGAGCTGACTTCACCCTCCCCACCCCCTACCGCCCCCAGGAGAGAGGCAGTTGCAGAATGGGTATGGATAGTATGGGAATGCACTTTAAAAGCCCCTAGGTGATTCTATTACAAAGGAATGGGGAGTGTATTTTCTATCCTATCCTCATCCTGTCCCATGTAATTGATGATTAAAAACATTCATTGTTCTTTCTTCTCTAGCCCACACCAGTTATCCTGCTAAAAGAGGGGACCGATAGCTCTCAAGGCATCCCTCAGCTTGTGAGTAACATCAGTGCCTGCCAGGTGATTGCTGAGGCTGTAAGAACCACTTTGGGTCCCCGAGGCATGGACAAGCTTATTGTGGATGGCCGAGGTAAGCATGCAAGTTCCTGGGTTCTGTGTAAAGGGAAGGCATCTGAGGACTACTGGGACTAGCAAAGGTTGACATCATAGGCCACCCTGCTTGTGAGATTTCTAATGAATGTGAAATGTGGTACAGTGGAGTTTCCTGTGCTCACTCTGCCAACACATGGAAGAAAATTGCCCTTTGTGCTTTAAATGTATGAGTTGACATGTGAACTACTAGGGTATTAGCTGTGTTAAAACTGTCATGTGGCCTATAGTGTTCCCCCACATAAAAGGAAAGAAACTAAAAATGGGCTGAAAACATGGCCCAGGTAAGTGTCTATGTATGTATGTATGTATGTATGTGTTTGTTGAGGTAGGGTTTCACTGTAGCCCAGGGTTGTCTCAGATTTGACATTCTACTAGTGCTGGCATTACAGGCATGTACTATACCTGGCTCATTTAAACCTTTTTGGTTCTAGTTAATTTTTTTCTCTCTAAATAGTTGGAGTTTGTGACTTTAGCTCTTTGTACAAACACCATGCGGAAAGGATAAGATTGGCATCTTTCCTTTGCATTACTACCATGTTCCCCTCTGTCTCATCCCAATAAGAAGTATATATATATATATGTAGTGGGGCTGGTGACTCACGCATGTAATCCTAGCTACTCAGGAGGCTAAGATCTGAGGATTGCAGTTCAAAGCCAGTCCAGGCAGAAAAGTCTGTGAGACTCTTTATCTCCAATAAACTACCAGAAAACTGGAAGTGGCGCTATGGCTCAAGTGGTAGAGTGCTCTCTCTTTTTTGTTTTTGGTTGGTTGTTGGGTCTGGGCTCTGTCCCTCAGCTCTTCAGCTCAAAACTAGTGCTCTACCACTTGAGCCATGGTGCCACTTCTGGCTTTTTCTGCTTATGTGGTACTGAGGAATTGAACCCAGGGCCTCATGCATGCAAGGCAAGCACTCTACCACTGAGCCACCTTCCCAGCCCCAGAGCGCTCTCCTTGAGCTGAAGAGCTGAGGGACAGCACCCAGGCCCAGAGTTCAAGCCCCACAACTGACAAAAAAAAAAGTATATACATGCAGTCAGGCATGGAGATACATGTCTGTTATCTCAGCTTTATGGGAAGCAGAGGTAGAAAAAGGCTGGGAAAAATTTAGGCAGGCCTTACCTCAAAACCAAGACTACCAAGTTTATATCATTTGTGATTTCAGCTAGGCTAATCCCAGCTAGACAGGAGGCAGGGTAGGAGAATTGAGGTCTCAAGCTAGACGGTGGACAAAAGGAATATAAGAGGAAAGAAAATGGGCTGGGAAGGTGGCTCAGTAGTAGAGCGCTTGCCTTTCATGCCTGAGGCCCTGGGTTCAATTCCTTAGCACCACATAAGCAAAAAGAAAAAAAGCCAGAAGTGGCGCTGTGGCTCAAATGGTAGAGTGCTAGCCTTGAGCTGAAGAGCTGAGGGACAGTGCCCAGGCCCAGAGTTCAGGCCCCACAACTGGACCCCCCCCCAAAAAAAAAAAGAAAGAAGAAAGAAAAGTGAGACCCTATCTTAAAAATAAGCTATCATAAAAAGGGCTAGAGTATAGCCTACCAAATGTGTGGCTCTGAATTCATATCCCCGTCCTCTTCCCTCTCTTACCCACCAAAAAAAGTACTTCTGATTGTAGGTCCAAATACAACAGAATTTAAGAAAGGGGCTTTTAAATTTTTGTTTGTTTCTCTTAAGGCAAAGCAACAATTTCTAATGACGGTGCGACAATTCTGAAACTTCTTGATGTTGTCCATCCTGCAGCAAAAACTTTAGTGGACATTGCCAAATCCCAAGATGCCGAGGTAGGAGAACTAGGCATAGATATTTCCCTGGTAGTTGGAATGTGTGCCTGTTTGCTACCTTGCTCTTCTGTCTTAGGATTTTTTATTTTATGTCTGTGATTATAATTGCACATGTAACTGAATCTTTAAAAAATTTATATAATTCCATTGTATGTAGCTTTTCCTATCCCTTAACACATTCTGGCAATGGTCTTTTTTTTTTTAATTTAAGTTTATTGTAAAGATGCTATACAGAGGGGTTACAGTAAGGTAATAAGTACATTTGTTGTTAAGCATTGTTACCCCCTCATTTGTTTTTCTCCTGTGTATGTATGAATTGCTAAGTAAATAATTTAATCTCCTCACTTATTCTCTTTATAAAATAGGGTTAAAACTCTGAGGTTTCCAGTCTTGGTGTGTGATAATAGAAAAACTCAATTTTGACACTGGAGTCTTGATGAGGGACAGATTTGCATTTTGGAGTACTGCCACACACAGAGAGACACATACATACATAAATGAGTTCAAGCCCTAGTCCTGGAGGGGAAAAAAGGGTTTGGATCCCTATCATAGAAGCACCATGTAAGAAAGATTAGCAGACCAATAATGTTATCTGTTTGGTGGATAGTGTGTGTGTGTGTGTGTGTGAGTGTGTGTGTGTGTTGTTTTTTTGTTGGTTGGTTTTTTTTTATTGTTTTGAGACAGTCTTGTGGTATAACCTAACTAGCCCAGAATTTTTTTTGTTGGTCGTGGGGCTTGAATTCAAGGCCTCAGCACTGTCCCTGGGCTCTTTTGCTCAAGGCTAGTACTCTACTACTTTGGGCCACAGTTCCACTTCTGGTTTTCTGGTGGTTAATTGGAGAGAAGAGTCTCATGGACTTTACTGGCCTGGTGGCTTTGAACCACAATCTCAGATCTCAGCTTCCTGAGTAATTATAGTATTATAGATGTGAGCCACCAGTACCAGGCTATAATCTTAATCTTATTTCAGAGTCATACATTTTACCCTGTTGAAACTAGCCAATTGAGAGCAGGTTGTGAACCTAAGCTTAACCAATCTGAGCAGGAGAGTTAAAGCCTACTGTGTTAGGGATAAATAAGGGGCAGCCTGCCTGTTCTATGTGCTTGCTTGCCAGATTTCTGGCTAATGGCGCACTCTTCTGCAGAAGTAAAATTTGCCTTGCTGAGACAATTCTTTATTTTCCTGTCTATTCTTACAACTCTAGTGGTTCTTAGCTTAGTTATAACATTTGCTATGTAGTCCAGGCTGGCCTTGAATTCATGAATCTCCTGTTTCTGCCCCCCAAGTGCTAGGATTACAGGTGTAAACCACCATACCTGGCCTCCAAATAGGTTTTGAAATATAACAATTTTTGGCTGAGCTGAGCCTGGGGGCTCACCACACCTAAAATCTTAGCTACTCAGGAGGCTGAGATCTGAGGATTTTGGTTCAGAACTAGCCCAAGCAAGTAAGTCTGTGAGACTGTTACCTCCAGTTAATCAACAGAGAGCTGGAAGTATAAGCATGGTTTAAGTGATATAGCATAAGTCCCCGAGTTCTGGGTTCAAGCTGCGGTACTGGTGTGTGCATGTGTACACACATGTGCACACGTGCCAAGATCTTTGGTTCTGTGAGTGGGATTTGGTTGAATTAGCTTTTTGTGACTTCTTACTCTTTATTTATCTCGTGCTTCCTGGTAACATGATTATTGGTGTCATATAAGCAGGACAATAACTGTCTTCACAATGCTTTGTACATAATAAATAAGGTCTCAGTTCATATTTTATATCTTGAAAAAATTTTATATTTATGAGGAGAACATTGAATAGAACACTGCAGATGCAGTTTCAGGGCTTAGATGTCTGATCATCAGAAAATATGTATTTGCTGTCATCTTTAGGTTGGTGATGGCACTACCTCCGTGACCCTGCTGGCTGCAGAGTTTCTGAAGCAGGTGAAACCATATGTGGAGGAAGGTCTGCACCCTCAGATCATCATCCGAGCTTTCCGCACAGCCACACAGTTGGTATGGCAGTACTGATACATTTAGCCTTGTGCCTAGATACCTTATGATTCTCTTAGTGAGGACAGTAATTTCACTGGGATTTGGAAAAACTACAGAACAGTTATTTGGGAATTTCTTAACTTCTTCCTAGGAATTGAAGTCTACTATTTTAGTAGCTACTTGATGAGATGCATTAAGCCTTGGTTCAAGTCAGCCTGGTAATCTGAGCTAGATCTAAACTCTTTTTGTCAGTCGTGGGGCTTGAACTCTGGGATTGGGTGCTGTCCTTGTGCTCTTCAGCTCAAGGCGAGTGATCTACCACTTGAGTCATAGTACCACTTCTGGTTTTCTGGTGGTTTATTGGAAATAAGAGTCTTACGGACTTGCCTGCCTAGGCTGGCATTGAACCATGATCCTCAGATCTCAGCCTCCCAAGTCACTAGGATTACAGGTGTGAGCCACTAGCGCCTTGCTAGATATAGACTCTTAAGAGGGAGCTGGTTTATTTTTATCAAGTGCCCCAAAGCATGCCTTGAGAACTGGCTGTTGCTTAGCTTTTTATCTTTATTTTGTGACCTCAGGTAAGCTACTTAATCTCCAAGGACTTACTCTCTCTTTGCTCTCTTTTTGAGAGATAACATAAAATGAAATCATGTATTAGGAATGCTTTGGAGAATATTTTTAAAAAGCTTGATATATATTGGCATATAATTTAGATATAAAGTGGTAAAAGTTGTGGTAGGTATGTTCATTTTCCTAGATAGCTGCAGGATTTAGACATTTTGTTTAAGCTGTGGAGAAGAAGTAGTTAAGGTTTGGGAGCAGACAGGCTAGGACTGGCAAGGGTAGGTCCACTTTACCAGTTTGTCTTTAGCATGAGAGGCTTACTCAACTTTTGTTCTTGGCAGGCAGTTAACAAGATCAAAGAAATTGCTGTGACTGTGAAGAACGAAGATAAAGTGTAAGTTGGCACTGGGCCTTGTTAGAGATTTGACTTACATAGCAAAGGATAGAGAAGCAATTTGTAGTTTCTACATGGGCCTGCAGCTGTTTGGCTCTTGATAGACCCTTGGGGATGTGCTCCACTTGCACACTGCAAAGGAGGTTCTAGACTGTAGTTTAAAAAAAGCTGTCATGGGCTTGGAAGGTGGCTGAGTGGTAGAGCACTTGCCTTGCAAGCCTGAGGCCCTGGGTTTGATTCCTCAGCAACACATAAGCAAAAAGAAAAAAGCTGGAAGTGGCGCTGTGGCTCAAGTGGTAGAGCGCTAGCCTTGAGCTGAAGAGCTGAGGGACAGCACCCAGGCCCAGAGTTCAGGCCCACAACTGGACCCAAAAATAAATAAATAAATAAAATAAAATTTAAAGTAAAAAGCTGTCACACATGAGGGCTTTTACTACAGCTGCTATCTAGCACTGATTCAACAGAAGTTGAAATTGAAGGGAGCAGAGTTTAGAGACTGGAAAGAAACCATCACTTCTACATCACAGTAGAATCTGGTAAAGGAGATTGGTTTTCAAGACCTGATGCAAGTTCAACCTTGGGTTCTAGGGAACAGAGGAAGCTGCTAGAGAAGTGTGCCATGACAGCTCTGAGCTCCAAGCTCATTTCCCAGCAGAAAGCCTTCTTCGCCAAAATGGTGGTTGATGCTGTAATGATGCTGGATGAATTGCTGCAGCTTAAAATGATTGGAATCAAGAAGGTCCAGGGTGGAGCGCTAGAGGTAAGATGACTGTTGTCTCCCTTACTGTCTTCTATTCACACTGACCCTCTGCACAGCTTCACAGGGGTGGAGGGAGAATGCATATTGGACAGGAGGTCAGACTTGGGGTGTGCTTCCCAGATGCCAGTACAGGCTGTGACTTTGAGTATTTGTAAACCGTCAGGAATTGGTGTTTGCTTATCAGCAGAGTAGAAGGTTGGACTGGCCGATTTGCAGATTCTTATTTCTAAATAGGAGCAGGCGCTTTACCCGAGACCCTCTGAGATAGCAAATAGTAAGGTACTTTGCATTCTTCAAAGTGATACCATCAAGCTTTCCCTTTTCTTTATCTTGGGTAGATAATAAATGGTTGACACTTTCTATAGAAGAGCCTAGAGTAAAAAGTGTCCTTTATACTACCTCTGCCCTATATGCAGCCACTGTTTCCAGTTAATAGCCCTTTAGAACTACCGTATGCAATTGCAGTATATAAGCAAATATTCTTTGTTTTTTGTTTTGGGTCCAGTCATGGGGCCTGAACTCTGGGCCTGGGCACTGTCCCTCAGCTCTTCGGCTCAAGCCACAGCGCCACTTCCGGCTTTTTTCTTTTTGCTAATGTGGTGCTGAGGAATCGAACCCAGGGCCTCATGCATGCAAGACAAGCGCTCTATCACTGAGCCACCTTCCCAGTCCCGCAAATATTCTTTAAACAATATTTGCTTCTGATAGTATGCTATACCAATTTTATCCACTAAACACTATATGTTAGCAGTTGGTCCATATCATCCTGTGGAGCTCTTAACTCTGCACTATGCTGTCCAGTATAGTGACTATATTCAGTGACATCTGAGCACCTGAAATCCTAGTAAATGCAACTAAGGAGCTGGATTTTTAGTTCATTTTAAATAACAATGTGGCTGAAACCCACCTTTTTGGATAGCACAAACTTAATCCTTACATTTATTTATTTAGGTCGGTCGTGGGGCTTGAACTCTGGGCTTGGGCACTGCCCCTGCGCTCCTCAGCTCAAGGCAAGCACTTTACCGCTTGGAGCCACAGCGCCACTTCCATTAATCCTTACTTTTAAAACACAGTAACTTACTATGATGTAACAGTCTTTTTTCTTTTTTTGCCAGTCCTGGGGCTTAAACTCAGGGCCTAAGCACTGTCCCTGAGCCTCTTTTGCTCATGGCTATCACTGCCACTTGAGCCACAGCACCACTTCTGGCTTTTTCCATTTATGTGGTGCTGAGGAATCAAACCTAGGGCTTTATGCATGCTAGGTAAGCACTCTACCCCAAGCCACAGTCCCAGCCCCTGATGTAACATTCTTCGATGCTAGTGCCCGTGCTACTTTGTTTGAGCAAATCTAAAATAAAAAACAAGTTTAATACTAAAATGCAGGGCCTTTTTCTTGCTAAGTGGCTGTGCCACTGGAGCCATACATCCAGGCCTTTTTGCTTTAGAGTGCTTTTTACAGTGAGATCTTGCTTTTTGCTTTAGAGTGCTTTTTACAGTGAGATCTTGCTTTTTGC